GATCAAAAATGTGCATATGAAATGAATACATACTTTTCAGATGTAGAAATTCAAATGGCAAACAAATATATGAAAAAATGTTCACCATCATTAATTTGTGGGTGTTGGATAATATTTGTTAGTGAGAAGGTGACTAACACAGATTGTCTACATGCCTGGCTGGAACATTAACATAAAATTAGGCCATCTAGTCAGTAACTCAATGGTTATGAATGAGGTGTAGGTGTACAGGAGACATATTCATCATTAAAGAAATATAGTGACAGGAGCTGAAGCAGCAGCTCAGGTTGTCCCCATTCCCCCACTCTCTTCCTGTCTCCAGTTGACTTCCTGGGTTCTCTACACTCCAGTCTGGGTCCTGCCATGTCCCACAAGCAAGAAGACAAGAATCCTGTAAAGCAGGACACGCAGAAGAAGGTATTTTTCCTGAGAGAGCTGAGAGGCAAAGCTAATAGCCAAGCATAGGACAAAAGTCTGGAGGCTCCGACTTCCTCATGAAGAGACTCCAGAAAGGGCAAAAGCACTTTGTCTCAGAAGATTACAACATGGTCAAAGCCAACATGAAGAATAAGTAGCTGCAAGTGCAGGACCAGACAAGAACCTGGTGACTGGTGACCACATCCCCACAGGATCTGCTCCAAAGTCCTCCCTTGTCACTAACAAGATTGTGGGGTACTTGTGCCCTCCTTTGCTCCCCTTCCTCACCCACTGGACTTTTCTACGTTATAGAGAGAGATGGAGTGGGCCCTTAGTCAGGTCTTCTCAGCTTGCTCACCAGGAAAGACTGATTCTGCTGGAGGCTGCTGAGAAGGCAATGTGCGTTAAAGAGGGGTGCTGAATTTGTTTCTTTAGTTAGATTGAAACTTCCATACCCTCATTCTCGCCCAGGTAGGGACCTGAAAACAGGAATGACTAGGATTGGATAATGCTGTAAACTCCTTTTCTTTCATGAGCTGTGGATATGCCTTCTCCTTTTGGAGAATATGCCCCCAAACTGGTTAGGCTGAGCCTTGATAGTTGTGGCAGTTTAACATCCCAAGACTAAGCTAACATAGTTGCAAAAGGTAGGCTGAATGAGACGTTCTGTGCTTCTAAATGTTTTGTCCCTTGGGCTCCTATTGCTTCATGTTTCCATCATGGCAGGTTGAAAGAATCCTCAAAAAGGAAACTGATTTGCTTGCCTGAAATTGTACTGTCCACTTCACTCCTTATTTAGTGTACGTTACAGCTTGCCCTGGCTCTCAGATGATATAAAACTTGGTAAACATAATTCATCAGATGGGCACCTTCTCTCTCTCTCTTCCAGTGTGTTGCTTCTGAATGTGTTGTGGGACAGTGGAAAGAGCACTGGCTTAGGAGTCATGCTACTTGGTGTCTAGTTCCACTCAGTCTTGGCAATACCAGGGCATAACCTTGGCCAAGTCAGTTGGCTTCTCTGGATTTGTTTCCTCATCTTTAAAATGCACTTCAGTATGTATAAGATTCATTTTGATTCTAATATACTGTATCTGCCAGCAGAAAAACTATAAAACTCAAAGTGAAGAAAGCCCATGAGTGAGCCTCTGTTCTGTAATCCCGGGAAAGTGCTCCAGAAGGGAATCACTTGATTTTTACATGGTGAAGGAGGATATTTGTGACTTTGAAGTCTATCAATTCAGGCAACAGAACCTCAGAGGTATCATAGTTTTGAGGTTTTGAAAAACTTCTTAAGCTAGCCCTGGAGCCAGGTGCAGTGGCACACCTCAGCAGTGAGGTAGGCTAAGACAGGAGGACAGAGTTCAGGTCCCATGTGGGCAACTTAAAAAGGGCTGGGGTTGTAGCTCTGGTAGAGCACCCTGAGGTTTGATCCCTAATACATGGAAGCTTCTTATCTGTGACACTGCCCACTTTCCTAGCCTCCATCTGGACCTTGACCACCACAATGCTTCTCAGGCAGCAGAGCTGAGGAAACGTGCGTCATCATGTCCGTGTGGTGACTCTATGTAATACCACGAAATCCTGTGTAATCAAATGCCAGGAGTGTTAGGGGAAGAGAAATGGTAGTGCTGCTGCAGGAGTGTGCAGCAGGTTCTTAGGTCACAACCTATCTTGGAGGAAGCAGGGAAAATGGCTGAGGCAGGAAGACTGAGAAAGCTGCCTGTCTAGAGCTTGGTAACCTAGCTCTCTTGTGATGTCAGTCAGATGGAAGAAAAGTGTTGTGATGACTGGCACCTGCAGTCTAATGATTGCTAGTTTGGCCTGAATCTTAGGAGTGCTTCCTACTAGTTGTGACAAACAGGGTCAGGGTGAGAAGTAACTGTGAAAGAGCAAGATTCTGTAATCCTCTTGCCTTTCCAGTTCACAAATGCTGACCTCCAGCCACTTGTCCATTGATGATGACTGGATAGCTTGTTGCTGGGGTATGGGAGTGGGGGAGCGAGGTCTGTGTGTGTCCCAACTTCAGCTTTTGGGCTGTCATTTAGATTGGATAGGAAAAGGTTGGTGAGGAAGGAAGGGAGAGGGCTGGATCCCTGGCTCCCTCCCCCAAATTCCTTGACTGTCACCTGTAACTGTATATAATTTTTTGGGTTTTCTGTTCCATTCTTTCATGCTCTCATCCTTAATCTAAAGCCTATGTGGGAAGGGAAAATGTTGAACATCGTTATATAGTTTCCTCAACTGTCCTGGCCATAGATGTCATATATATA